GGGACACAGGTTGGGCATTAGGGGATTATATCTTAATTACTGTATTTGTCTCTACTATGGAGATTCACCCCTCTTTGTCCTGACTGATATTAAAGGGAAATATGAAAACTTCAAGTTGTCAACACAACAGCAGGTGAGGGAAGACCCTTGTAACAAAGGGTTAACGTCCTGTTACATTTATTTAACAAGTTTGTGTGCTAAACGTTCCAGATTTGTGGGTGAGGTGCAATGATTCATGAGTAGTAGCATAATAAAATACATTTACTTAGCTTAGGTACAGTCTAGATATTACACAGGATAAACTAGATAAATAGAATATTACCAATCTAGGGAGCCCCTCGACTCCTGGAGAGATCAGAAAGTCCTGAATTCCACACTCTTCAAGGTCTCTAGGCACAACCAACCAAGATGCCCTAGGCAAGGCTCAACTAGCTTGTCTCTTCCTTATACCTTTCTTACTTTACTGAGGGGCTATTGTCCAGCAAGAATCCATGTGGGATGATTGTTGGTGCTGGGAGCCATGGAGCGAGTATCAGCAAAACAGCATAATTCGTTAAAGGTTGAACTGTTTGGCCTCAATTGTAAACGTTATGTCTGGAGGAAACCATGCACCGCTCATCACCTGCCCAATACCATCCCAACAGTGAAGCGTGGTGGTGGCAGCATCATGCTGTGATGGTGTTTTTCAGCAGCAGGCACTGGGAGACTGGTCCCGGTTAAGGAAAAGCTGAATGGAGCAAAGTACAGAGATATCCTCAATGAAAACCTGTTCCACAGCGCTCAGGACCTCAGACTGGACCGAAGGTTCACCTTCCAACATGACAACGATCCTGAGCACACAGCCAAGACAACACAGGAGGGGCACTCCGTGAATGTCCTAGAGTTGCCCAGCCAGAGCCCCCATTAAACATCTCTGAAGAGACCTGAAAATGGCTGTCCACCGACGGTCCCCATCCAACCTGACTGAGCTTGAGAGAATTTGCAAAGAAGAATGGCGGAAAATCCCCCAATCCAGGTGTGCAGAGCTTGTTGTGTCATACCCAAAAAGACTTGAGGCTGTAATTACTGCCCAAGGTGCTTCAACAAAGCATTAAGTAAAGGGTCGGAATACTTCAGTACATGTGATATTTCATTTTTTTTTCTTTTTAATACATTCACAGACTTTGTTGTCATTATGGGGTACTGAGTGTAGATTAATGAGAGAAAAAAAAAGAATTTAAGCAGCTGTAGTATCAGGCTGCAACATAACCAAATTGAAAAAAGTGAAGGGGGTCTGAATACTTTCTGAATGCGCTGTATACATCACACATTTACTCTTAGAAAACTACTACCAAGTTACTTGTAAATCAATAATCACTTAAAAAATACTATTTGTCACAATCCTTCAATGGAGACACCTGTTCTATGCAAATTCTATTCATTTTGAAGGGATTTTATCAAATTTCCTGTTGCGTTTCCAGAAAAGGAAGTGAAGGGAAATCTCCCCAGCAGGATAAACCAAAAAATAACTTGATGGAAATGTTTAACCTTTCGCTGCTCAATCAAAACTAAAATGAGAAAAAAAATTTTGGCTTTACAAATGCGTGGATAACTTTAATACAAGACGGAAACAAATTTTATGAACTAATGATTTTGGTTTAATTTATATAATAAATTAAATAATTTTGACTTAATTATGCATCATACTATGTACTTTGTTTAATATGTTGTATCTTTTACGCCTCAAACATTACATTTTAAAAGCAGAAGATCTGTAGAAAAAAAGAATGGTAGTTGCAATCATTTCACATGATATTTGCACTTGTTTCTCAAATATACATTTTTAGTAAAAAGATACTCCAAATCATTTTAGTGCATAAAAACAATAAAATCCCAACGTTTTCTGTCGAATATAAAAGATCAGACTGTTGAGTAAATAGATAAGCTTCAAAAATATGTGCATCAGCAGATTGGCGACAAACTACAATACCTAGAATTGTTCATAGGCACGCAACCTCTAGAGTTCATCTATTCAGAGTTAACTATAAACTATATAACTATAAAAGATGGCCTTGGAATTATTACAAAGTTTATAAACTGCTTTTACCTCAGAAAGGGGAACAAGCCTTACACAGGTATGCATTGTGTTATTTTGTATACTCAAGTGCGTGAGGTTCATTATGTTAAGAATGCTTAGATGTGAATTTTGAGATGAATAAACTTCACACATTTTTTAACAACTTTATGACCGGGGTGTTAAACACCCTTCCTGTCCAGGCCATCTTTCAGTATTCAGCGCTGAGGTACTTTGACTAACAATTATTCAGCCATGCAACGCCATACCAAAAGGAATGTTATTTTTATTTTGTTGGTAAACATAGAGCTTTCTTTTGTTGGTATTTAATCACCACTGGATTTTTGATTTTTGTTATATTAGGGAAAGATTATTGAACATTTGTAAAAATAACCGGTTTTCCTTATGTTAAGCTATGGAAAATTGTACATTCATCTTCATAATTTTAGGCCAAAATGTATTGCTTTTCTTTTTTTGGGGTAAAAAAAAAAAAAAAAAAGGTTTCTAACAACGGCATTTAGGACTCGGACAGACAGGCAGGCGTGCATTGATGGCAATCAGGACTCGGATGAAGAGGCGTGCACTGGTGGCAATCGAGACTCGGACGGACAGGCTGGCACTGATGGCAAAGAGGACTCTGACTGAACTGATGGCAATGAGGACTCTGGCGGGCAGGCAGGCTGGTGCTAATGGCAATCAAGACTCTAACGCATGGACAGGCTGGCACTGTGGCAATCAGGACTCTGATATTACTAGCAGGCTGGAACAAGTGCTGGATAACACAGTATTCGCTGTCACTGTAAAGAAAGTCTCCTCTCATAGCTGAACAGTGTGTAAGAGAGGAGGAAATATCGCTGGATACTGCTACAGTGTTTCCATTTAGTGATCTGCTGTGATTGGTCACAGCGATCACACAGAACAGAGCCGATTTCACTCGCTCTGCACCAAGTTGTTTAAACTACACTGTCCAATGGACAGTGTGTTTAAAGTATAATTAAAACCTCCTGTGTTTTTGCATATATCTTCTGCTAGCAAGCAGTAGATATATGCAAAAAGTGTTAAACATACCTGTGTCTTCCCCGCGCGCTCCCGTCCGAAAATGTGAAAATTATAGGGCAGCCGCAAAGCATCTTAGGGCGGGCGCATGCGCAGTTCACATTTTCGGCCGCGAGGAGAGAGACGAGGTAAGTCTATGGACGCAGACACCGTGGGAAAGGAAGTGCCAGCAAGGACGGGAGTCGGCGTTGGATCGGAGACCTGCCGCAGCGCTGGAGGAACAGATGAAAAGGACAGGAAAGAAGATCGGATTAAGAAACATAATTTAAGGTAAGTGCTGACATTAACATTGGGGGGAGGGAACTTTTTTTTTAACTTTAATGTCACTTTAAACTTGCTTGGTTGTGCATGCACTAGGGGGCAGGCACAAGCTAAAAAATAAAAGACATTTACGTGAACCCGCTAGGAGCCGTCAGCTGTTCTATTACAACAGGCGGACAGCAACTGGTTAATAGTTATATTGTATCTATGAAACTATTGTATTTTGTTTCTTTCCAGTATTCTCATTGCCTCGTAGACATTATTTAGATTGCTTAGAGTTGTCAGTAATGTGTCCAATATAATTGCTAATAAGTCTGTGAGTGGGAGCCTTTGGTGGTGGTTTGGCATGGCAAATGGAACATTTTTGGGGTGATGACCATTTTCATTTTAAATATAATCTTGTTTTCAGTATAAATGACACAAATCACGTCTAAAGCCAACTTTTTTTTGTTGTTGTTTTGGACAGAATTGGAAAAGCTTAGCAGCCTTGTCGAGTTTTTTTTTTTTATTGCTGTCCATGAACCCGCTGGGTAGATTCAATATATTTGTTCTGACGTCCATTGTCACTAGGACTGAAGGCTGGGAAAAAACACAAATTTTGAGTTTCAGAGCAACAGGAACAGAGTGGAAGTTTTCCAGTAGGGACACTTCTTGCATTGCATATTTGCCAGGATTTTGCTTAGTTTGGAGATATTTCCTCTTGCTTCCTGTTTTGTTTGTAGGACAGGAAGTTAAGGGAATGGGAAGGGAGCGTGCACAGCGTATTAGCACATTGTGGTAGACTTGTCTGCTAAAGCGCTCTGCTCCTCCTTTACTGGTACTTTCATCCTTTGTTTTGATTCTTCGGCCACTTGTTTGGCCGGGCCCTGATGATATTTCATCTCGTATTGTATCAAATATTCTAGTTGGTGGATTTTAAAGTGAGCAGAACAATCACTTTCTGTATATCCTCAGCCTCTCTTTGTAGCACAAACGTATTGAATCTCTTGCATCATTCTCATTCTAGTCCTGTGTATATCTGGAGGCTTCAAACTGAACTTGATGCGACTGTTATATGAAAATTGGAACAAAGGGAATGCTATTGTAGCTCATTGCAAATGGTTTGCATGCTTCATTTTTCCAGCACGATCCGGCTGTTGGAGGCATCCAGTTTTTCTTTTCTCCGGTCTTTATTTATCGGCCCCTATGTGTTAGATATGAATGGGAAGTGGGGAGCAAAACATGCTGGATATCGTTCTACCGCCTTCGGGCAATACTTCGATGATAGCAGGGGATTTTCAATTTACCATATATTATATTACCTGAGAGCAGAAAAACGAACATAGAATTTAGCAGTTGGGGAACTTTATCTTCTGTTAACAGCCACATAAAATTAAAAAAAAGCAGCGGCTCACATTTTCAGCTTTTTCTACCAAACGTTTGAGATTTGTGAGATGAGGTGGTTTGGAAATATATATTTATTATTATTAGGCCATCTCCTATAACCTGGGCCATCTCCTACAACATATCAGGATAATGCCTGCCACATTTTGAAAAATGTTATTGTCAGTTATTTAAATGTAAATTGTGTAACTATAAATAGGAAGGGCCTATTTAATTTCAGGATTTAAAAATGATGTCTTTGTTTTAGGCTGAAGATGAGGAAACCAAAGAACGGCTGTTTGAATCTGTGCTGAGTGAGTGTAGAGATGCTATCCAAGGTGTGCGAGAAGAGCTGCGAGCTGAGCAGGTGAGTCGTGCCACTTAGGTTTTCTGTTTTTATTTTGTGATAAAAGCAACTACTACTTCTGGTGAGCCTTAAAGTGACATTAAACCCTCAGATTTTTTAACATAAACCAATACTGTAATGTGTGGCTTACTGTAATCCATGGTTGTTTCCCTTCTCTTTGCTGCTCTTCCTTTTAAATCCGTATCTCTTCTCATGCTGGTGGATAACTTCCCTTTGCAGCTGACTGCCTCTTCCTGTAGTGCTGGCTCAGGTTGTGAACCTGCACACAGACACCATGTATCCATTCCAGAGACAAGGACGTCTGCTGCAAAACAGAAGTTCTGCCCAGCATGAGAAGAGCTACGGATTTAAAAGGAAGAGCAGCAAAGAGAAGGGAAACAACCATGGATTACAGTAAGGCACACATTACAGTATTGTTTTATGTTAAAAGAAATCTGAGGGTTTAATGTCAGTTTAAAGGCATTTTGACCTTTTGCAAAAATAAATTATTAAATGCAGTAGAGGTGCACCGAAGCGAAATTTTCTAATCGAAAATAAAATAAATTGTCAAGCCGAAACCGAAAACATTTTTTCTCTGTTTTTTAAAAAAAAAAGTATCTTTATTTTTTCTAAACTTAAATGTTTTTTTTTCTGTTATATTTTTAACTTTACAGTCATTCGCTCTGCGGAAATATCAGGGGTCTAAACAGACCCTTTTAAAATAGAAAAAGAGATTGAGGGCACAGTGCTCAATCTCTTTTTTTGCAGCCCCTGTTATGCATGAACACGAAGCCTCCATACTGAGTATTCCTGTTCTTAACTTGTGGATATAGTATGTTTTACTATGTCCACAATCATGAATGAACACGAAGTGATGAAGAGCACTTCCTGTTCATTAATAATTGGGGACCCAGTAAATATACTATGTCCTCCTGTTATTTACAAACACTCAGCGATCACTGATAGCTGAGTGTCTGTATACCATTCTCAATCCTGACTCACTGTCACAGGAAGCAGAGACGATAAACACCGGCGGTGCGGGGAGGAGAGCTCAGTCTCATTTGGCAGCTGACTCCTCCCCTGCACCACTGGCTCTGCCTCCGGTGACAGCTGTGTATGCCCTAACAGCGCTCTCGAGCCTGATCTGTCACAGGAGGCTGAACGGGGCAGTGCGGGAGGAGAACTCTGCCTCTTGTATCTGGTATGGTCATGGGGCCCATGCCGTTTTTTTTAATTTTATTTTTTTCACATGTCCTTTCTCATTCTGTTTGCTTGCTCTGAAGGTACACTTGGAGATATGGAGTAGCATCAGGTTTAAACTATGAGAGATAGCACTAGATTTTAAGTAATAGAAAGATACATATATTGCATTATTTAATCCAATGTTTAAAAAGTATTGGTCACTAAACTGAAAGAGAATGCTTGGTTTTGTTAGCTGTTTTGCTGCATTACTCAGAATGGAGTTTACAGATCAATGTACCCAAGCTGCTTAATAGGTAATCTGAACACGGTGTTCACTGTGAATGGGTATTTGTTTGCTTTTCAGAGGCACAGAGATGGTGTCATTGATGGTGAAACTGGCAAAGTGTCTACCCTACAGTTCTTGCACAGGTAAATCATATTCTGTGGCTGTTTATTTCTCCATTGGGGGGACACAGAAGAATTGAGTTTGTTTAGCCAATAGATGGTTGACTTCTCCCCTGTGACATGTCCGATCCCGTACAGCTTTGGTCTTTAGTGTCAAATATTCTGCTGTTTATACTACTAGAAAACGTCCTGTTTCCATACCTTTTGCATTGACGTGCCAGAAATATGAAAATGATACTACATCCAAAATGGATATTACTGCAGCTCTGTATGTGTGTATCCTAAACATTAGGAACATGTCATTGTAATAACCAGCTATAGCATAGCTTGGAGAAATATGAAGCCATCTAATGCCATTTATCTGCTCACAAAGATTGTGCAGAGCAACTTTGTTTACAGCATTTCTGAAATGGAGGGGTGAAATAATCTGGTACCTATTACTGCAAAGACAGGAAATTCTTGAATCCCAGAGACTTTGCTAATACATTTTTTTTTAATGATGTGCTATTACACATCTAAACCACTTTCATGCTAAATAACTTCATCTTATATTGAATGATGAAAGGTTCAGCTATTGTACACTTGTGTGTCTTTGTAGTTACCTATCCTACATCAAGCTGTCCACAGCTATCCACCGTAATGAGAGCATGGCCAGCGCTCTGCAGAAGGCCCTACTCCGCCAGCCACAGGCAGAAGAAGATGGCAAAAGGAACCCACGACCACAGGATTTGATCAGGCTTTATGATATCATTTTGCAGGTGAGAGAGCCGAGCTTTCGTAGCAGTTTAGCATTGCTTTCATGATTAGCGGTCATTACTGTTCCTGTAAATCCAATACAATGATGTGTGATAATAGTAAAAATTAGCACTTCTTGACAAAAAAAGTGCCATTCTGATCTACCATTATTTCTTTACAGCAATTCTGAAACTGACATCTTGCATTTCAGTACAGGTTTCAATTGAAAGCATATCTTTAGTTGTCATAGCACCTGTCTTTGTCAGCTTGAAAGTCCCCTAAAGCATGGAGTGTAGCAAATACCAACATCAGTTTATACAGCGGAGTCTGGCTGCTTTCTACAGCTTAGTACCGAGGCCCCCAGGGGTTCATTTCTGCTTAGCCTGTGACTGTGGCCTAAGGTCACGGGACTTTCAAAGGTGACATAAATTCACCTACACATCTTTTATAGTCATTAACTCATTCTAAATTTTGTTGGTGCAATCTGGCCAGGTCCTCATTTTTGGTGTCCCTGCAGGATTTGTGCTTTCTTTTGTTGGCTGAATAGTGTACTGTGTGCTTTGGCTTCACCTCTTGTTCTCCACCCTCCATACCCATAGAACCCAACTGCTAGCAGGGCAGAAGGCCATGGCTTTTAATGATTGATTGCTAGATATACTGACATGGAGTAGGCAAATTGTCTCCCTTAGTCACGCCATCTCCAGTGTCAGCATGCCTTGGGTAGTTATGACATCTGATCTTATTAGGGGTAACAGGCCAGCTGGATGTGCGGGGGGCAAACCGGACAATTGGCCTAGGTGGCCAGGACGGATAAATCCAGCTCTGGAGGACACATTTATGTTCATGAGCCAGTTGAAAGATATGAAATGCAGAAAGGAATGAAGCTCATCTCAAATTTACAGGCTGATGTTGGGGTTTGGTATAATGAGCATTAAGGGTTTATAGTGCTCCCAGGGCCTTCCGGAAGGCAAGTTAAAGGCATGTGTGGGACCTCTAGGTACCTGCATTTAACTCAAGCTGACAATATATGTGCACAGATAAGTACTGTATGTGTGTGCGTGCCACGCCAGAAAAGTGAAATGAATAGTGACAAGAGGATAGAGGGGTAGTCTAACATTAACAGGGAAATTTAGTCCTGACAGCACAATTGTTATAGGCTGAAAACCTTACGGCCAAACTCGCAAGGCTTTCTGTGGTTGGAGTAGATGATGTAACATTAACGCCCCCTCCAATCACAGAACGTCTTGTATTTTTTTGAGAAATATACAAGGCATTTTGTGAATTGACAAGTAGAGGGGAGGGGGTGGGTGATGCGATCAGAGCACTTCGCTGCTCGGGTAGCATCCCTCACTTCCCACGGCGCCTAGAGGACTGGCATTGTGAAGGAGCCGGCGTGATGCAAGGTAAGATTTTTATACTCTGCATCCGCCCTCCACACAACACACACCACTTTGTAATGGTAATTTACACACCTGGTGTGGTGTAAATGATCATTTTTTCCCCGGAGTTTGGCTTTAAGGTACATGTGAGCTTTTGCCAAATTTGTTCTACTGTTGAACTACATTTATGACATATTTGATGTTCAGACTCTGATAAGGAAATGCAGCTACAATGCTTCTTATACTAGTTGAGAAATCTACTAACCAACTTCTCACTTTCAACAAAGAATCTTGCAGAGCTGACACAGCTGCCTGGTTTGGAGGAAGACCAAAGTTTCCAGAAGGAGATTGTATTAAAGACGCTGGTGTACAAAGCATACAGGTTAGTATGAATCATTTGAGTCCAACATTTAATGCATTTGAAGCCAGCAGTACATGTTCACACAAAACAGTAATTACCAAATGAGTTGAGGATCTTCAAACTTATCAATTGTAACTGTGTTCTCTTTGAAAACCCAGTTATGTGCAGATGAAAAACATAATTAGTTTTTTAATTGAACTGAATCTTTACTTGCAGTTGAGAATCCTCCCTCAAATTATTAGTAAATCGGCCTCAGTAACTCAATTCTGCTTTCTTGCAGGTGCTTTTTTATTGCTCAGTCTTATGTTCTGGTGAAGAAGTGGAGTGAAGCCCTAGTACTCTATGATCGGGTGCTGAAGTATGCTAAAGAAGTCCGGTCTGGTTCATCTAAGGGCAGCCTGAAGGTACCTGCTTATCTCATCTAACACTTTGCCTATATCCATATACTGCCAGTTGTAGTCTTTCTGCTGCAACTAGACTGTAGTAATTTCAAAAGCCTGTTGTACTCCAAGTTGTCGACAATGTATGTGCTATTGTAACCTGCTAGATGTCTGGCTGCTAAGCTTTAAGAAATGTCTTTTGACTCTCAAAGCCCAAATGAACCTTCAGTTTAAATCGCCAAAATGCATTCCAGGTGCATGAAAACAAAAGCTGTTCAATATCTTCGTTTTTTTTCCTAGAGCAGCCAATGCCTGAATAGAAAAGCCAGTCCAGTGTCAGCATGTCTCGGGGTGGAATTCTTGCTCTCTTTGGGTAAGCAGTGGTTGCATTGCAGAGGTCCAACACTCACTCAGTGAGTCAGACCTACAGCATTGCAGTCTGCAAAGGTCATGTTTCCTTCTGATTGAAGAGCTCTGACTGTCAGATTCACTGTTTCCCCACAGAGAGCATGGGTCCCACTCTTGCAGACCCGGACACAAATGTTTCTACTCAGGCTCTTACTGATTTTTAAAGAAAACAAACTTTTTGCACACTTTCCCTTTAGAGCTCACACACCCGCAAAACATCAGTGAGCCACCACCATGCTTCACAATGGGCATGGTTTTCTTTTTGCTATAGGCCTTGTCTCCATACATAGTGCTTATGGTTGTGACCATAAAGCTCTATTTTGGTCTTGTCACTCCACATTTGAGAGTGCCAGAAGCTGTGAGGCATGTCAAGGTGTTGTCAGGCATATTTTAACCAGGCTTTTATTGTGGCATTGGCTCAGTGAAGGCTTCTTTGTGGCAACTCGACCATGCAGCTCATTTTTGTTCAAGTATCGTCGTATTGGGCTCCTTGAAACAACCACACCATCTTTTTCCAGAGCAGCTTGTATCTCTCCTGAGGTTAACTATGGGTTTTCTTTGCATCCTAAACACTTCTTCTGGCAGTTGTGGTTGCAATCTTTCTTGGTCTACCTGGCCTTGGCTTGGTATCAAGAGATACCCACATTTTCCACGTCTTAATAAGTGATTGAACAGCACTGACTGGCATTTTCAAAGCTTTGGATATCTTTTTTAATATCCTATTCCATCTTTATAAAGTGCCATTACATTGTTACTCAGGTCTTTTGACAGTTCTTTTCTGCTCCCCATGGCTCAGTATCTAGCCTGCTCAGCGCATCCATGTGAGAGCTAACAAACTCATTGACTATTTATACACAGACACTAATTGCAATTTAAAAAGCCTCAGATGTGGTAAATTAACCTTTTAATTGCTATTTTAACCTGTGTGTGTCTGTAACAAGGCCAATTATTCCAGGGTATGTAAACTTTTGATCAGGGCTATTTAGGTGATTTCTGTTATTATAATTTCAAAAGGAGCCTAACAACTATGTGATAATAAATGACTTCTTATGGTCACTATCCTTAAATAAAATACATTTTTCTGGCATGATCAGTCATATTTTCAATAGCAATGCCAAAATGTCAAGATTTCTGCCAGGGTATGCAAACTACATATATAAATTATACACACAGTACTGTGCAAAAGGGAAAAATGCTGTACGGTGAGAATGCTTTCAAAAATAGGTGTTAATAGTTTATTTTTTTTATTGACAAAATGGAAAGTTAATGAACAGAAGAGAAATCCAAATCAATATTTGGGGTGACCACCCTTTGCCTTCAAAACAGCATCAATTCTTCTAGGTACACTTGCACACCGTTTTTGAAGGTTCTTGGCAGGTAGGTTGTTCCAAACATCTCTGAGAACTAACCACTGGTCTTCTGTGGATGTAGGCTGCCTCAAATCCTTCTGTCTCTTCATGTAATGCCAGACAGACTCGATGTTGAGATCAGGGCTCTGTAGGGGCCAAACCATCACTTCCAGGACTCCTTGTTCTTTACGCTGAACATAGTGACGTTGGCTGTATGTAAGGGGTCATTGTCCTGCTGCAGAATAAATTTGGGGCCAACCACTTGCCTCCCTTATGGTATGGCATTATGGATAAGTATCTGCTTGTATTTCTCAGCATTGAGGACATAATTGATCCTGACCCAATCTCCAACTCCATTGGTCAAAATGCAGCCCCAGACTTGCAAGGAACCTCCACCATGCTTCACTGTTGCTGCAGACACTCATTGTACCACTTCCCAACCCTGCTACGGCCAAATATATATATTTTTATTGGGGTTTTTTTTCCAATTTATAAAATGCAAAAGGGAGTTAAACAGAAGAAAAGTCTAAATGTAATCAATATTTGGTGTGACTACCCTTTGGCTTCAAACCAGCATCAATTCTAAAGGTGGCCATATACTTTACAACCCTCGCAAGACTTACGATTCCCGGTGGGTTTTACTTTTACGATTCCCGGCGGGTTTTCCAGCCTGCTTGTTCGACAGAAGACGTGCGACCGTACAGTAAAAACAGTGTGACATGAAACAGTGGAAGACTGTTTCAGGTCACAGGTCATACACCATGGAAAGACTGATCACACCAACAAGACAAAAGGTAGTTATACTGCATCAGCAAGGTCTCTCCCATGAAAAGATTTCAAAGCAGACTGGGGCCTCAAGATGTGCTGTTCAAACTCTTTTGAAGAAGCACAAAGAAACGGGCAACGTTGTGGACCAAGGACGCAGAGGTCGGCCAAGGAAACAATGCAGCAGATGAGACACATCATGCTTACTTCCCTTCGACATCAGAAGATGTACATCAGGGCATCAGCACCAAACTGGTGGAAACCATTGGGACCTAGGTACACCCATCTACTGTCCGGAGATGTCTGGCCAAAAGTGGTCTTCATGAAAGAATTCTGGCCAAAAAGTCATACCTCCAAAAGTAGAAACAAGGCTAAGCGACTCTACTATGCATGAAAACATAGGAACTGGGGTGCAGAAAATGGCAGCAGGTGCTTTGGACTGATGAGTCAAAATGTGATATTTCTGAAAGCATGTTTACTTTACAGCATTTTTTCACACCTGCCTAAAACTTTTGCACAGTACTGTATATATCATTTTTTTTTCTTTTTTAATGGCATGTGTTCTGAATACGTGCTTTACATGAAGATTAACCCAGTTCCCTTTTTTCCTTTAGGATTTACCTGATGTGCAGGAACTCATCAAACAAGTGAATGCAGAGAAGTACTCCATGCAGGCTGCTGCCATACTTGGTGAGTGAGGAGAATTGCTGTTTATCACAGGTCTAATCTTTGGGAATATGAAAGTTCCAGTTATGTAATGTGACATTTAGCTGAAATGCATTTCCACCGTCTGTAACCAACCCAGAAGTTGGACTAGAGAAACTGTGAGGGATGAAGGACTAATCACATGGATCCTGCATATGAAAAGTATGCCAACAGGTACATTTCTTGCCTATAGCAATCAGAAGCCGATTTTTCATTATCAACTCTGCACTGCAAAAGGGACATTTGGAAGATGACTGGTTGTTGTAGGCAACAACAAAAATATTCTTGCAAGCACAAATACCGAAACTCAGTTGTGTTTGAAGTACAATGAGTGTTCATTCATGCAACATACCAAAAATATAAGAATAAAAAAATAAGAATATTTCCCTTTCTAGTTTTTTTTTTATTTGGAGCAGGTTTATCCAAAGGACTGCAAGCTATGCTGAACAATTTCACAGTGCAATTAGAGAGACTGAGAAAAAGTTTAACATACAATAAGCCATTTAAATCTGCAATAACTAGCGGAAGCGTAGTCATTAACACTCGTGCTGCCAGAACCAGTTTGGCATGGTTTTTATGCACAAATGTGAATGTACATTTTAGGCAAGATTACACCCACCCCCCAGAATTATATATTTTCTGAAAGCAGAGACCCTATAAAATGGTGGACGTTGCAACGTTTGGTCGCGTGACATTAACACAGCTCTTTATCAAACCTAATTTTTCAGTAAAGAATACATTTAAGTTAATTGAAGTGCACACAAACACAATACATTACTTATTTATTTGTAACATATACGAGATGAGGTTGCACCAAATAAATAGATGCCACACTTTGGTACCCAAAAGTATCAATATAGAACGCTGTAAGGCTGGGTGCACACCTGGATGTTTTTCAGCACTGAAAAACGCTCAAGAAGTGAAATCCAATCAATCCCTATGGGCATGGTTGCCACCTGGGCGTATTTCAGCGCGATTTGTCGCGCTGAAAACAGCCCTACACGCAAAAAAGTACTTGTCCTTCTTTACGCGTAGGGGCCGATTGCAGCGCCTAACCATTGGTATTCCCGAGTGTGGCTCGGGTTAACAAAACGGTAACCCCGAGCCACACTCGGGAATACAGCGTAGGTCTTACCTTGTCCGCAATCCCCGCTGTGTCCTCCGGCCGCTGCCATCTTCCGGGTTCCGTCCCTTGCGAGCGTCCGCGTCGCAGGGGGGCGGGACCGGCGGGAAGTTTGAAAGTTTAAAAAAAAAATCATACCGCCAGAGGTATAAAAACGAGCGTTGAATGCGCATTTCACTGAACTAAAAAACGAGCTGAAAACGCGCCTATAGTAACGCCCAGGTGTGAACTCAGCCTAAAAGCTTTTAAAGATCATCAATTTCGATTTAACGGTGAATAATGACCCTAGAATTATTGATGTCACTCCGGCATACTTGGCGATACTTAACATATGTGGGGTAATAATAGTTTTCGTACATAGGCACACCTGACGTGGTGGCAGGTTCTATTTAACCTCTTGCCGTCCGCCCGTAGTAGAAAAACGGACGGACGGCACTGCTGCATCTGCGGGTTGCCGTCTCCAGACGGCAATTTTTTTCTGCTCGCGCGCGCCCCCTAGCGGGCACGCACGGGCAGAAAAGACCCGTCCAATGCGCACACCCGTTACCGGGTGTTTCACATATAGGCGATCAGCGGGTCCATAGCCCGCCGATCGCCTATATGTGCTCGTTCGCGGCACCCATCCCCCCCCCCCCCGCGCCCGCTCGGCGCTTCCGGTTTTTTTTTTTTTTTTTTTTTTCCCCCTGACCCCTCACCTTGATTCCCGGGATCCGCTGCCCCATCTTGGATCCCGGGACCGGCTCCGAGGGCGTCAGGAGGAGGAGGACGGGAGATCAGCTCCTTGCTGATCCCCGTCCGGGCTGTGAATGCAGAAGTGATGTGTGTTACATCACTTCCGCATTCACCTGTCAGTCATCTGGAGAGAGAAGAAGCTGATAAAGCAGATCTCTGCTTTATCAGCTTCTTTTGGGGTCCATAGGTGATATTAGGGGTCCTAGAGACCCCTAATATCTCCATAAAGAGGACCTGTCAGTGTGCCTTTGCTATTATATAGGGGGTTGTTATCCCCCTATATAATAGCAATAACAATAAGTGCAAAAAAAAAAATATAAATAAAAAAAAAGAAAAGTAACACATAAAAAAATAAAATAAAATAAAAGCCACATATAAAAAAAGGGGAAAAAACCCCCCCAAAATGTTTAACTCCCCCACCCCCACGTTTACGCGCCTATAAACGTAAATACGCGTCCGGTGCCCCAGCGCGCAAAAATTACAATTGCGCTACACATGTTACATATCGCCGCGAACGTCGCAGTGAGAGCAATCATTTTAGGGCCATCAATCACTGATAACACTAAACTGATGAGCGGTAACAGCTTTTAAAGCGTCGCCTAGGGCCAATTTTGGGTATTATCGTTTTTTGAGGTTTCGCGCGCGCACGCAATTTTAAGGCTTGACATGTTTAGTGTCTTTTTACCCGACGTGACCCCATCTTTTATATTTTACCAAAAAATTGGGTAATAATAAATGTTTTATAATTTAATATAGGGGAAACTGTTTTTTTTTTTTAATTTCGGTAATTTTTCCTTTAATATAGTAAAAAAATAAAACCCCCAGTGGTGAATAAATACCACCAAAAGAAAGCTCTATCTGTCCCCAAAAAAGGGTATAAAATTCATTTCAGTACAGCGCTGCATGACGGAATAAATGTCAGTTAAAGTACCGCAGCGCTGAATACTGAAAAATGGCCTGGATGGGAAGGGGGTTTAACACCGCGGATGTCAACTGGTTAAGGAGATCCCTATTGTCATATTTGCACTTGAATGAAGCAGATGAAGAATGACTTTACACATGTGCGCAGACTCCTAGCTACTTTTTTATGGTCTTCATTGACCATTCTAGAAACAACTCCTAAGCAGCTGCCTGTCACTTTCTTGATCCCTACCTAGAACCAGAAGACTAAAATGTTTTGCTTCACTTCTTTGTGTTACAGACTCCACCGACGTCGCAGAAGAGATCTCTCCCTCTCAGACAAAAGACAACAAGGTAAGTTCAATATTAGAACATCAGTAATACTGGAACTTTAGGTGGTAGTATTTCTAGTCTGACCAGTCTTACTTTAGCAGCGTGTTTTTTCTTCTGCAAAATTTAAATCACATTTTCATGCAAGGTGCTATGTACTGGGAACGCATATTTTCCCACACTGTTAATAATAATAACTGAACCCCTCTTACAGCAGTGTACAGTGCTTGTAGGACTGATAATTCATATGAAATGATTCTAATAGAGAACAGGCACATCTGCAGGCAATGCCCTACAGTTCCCTGTCCTCAAATTGTAGGGAATAGCAAAGTGTCAGTGGGCAAATGCAGCCTGCTTTTAGACGCGTTTGAGATCAGTTTGAGACATTTCTGATATAATTCAGAGTTCACTGAGAGGTGGGTTTGACCTGCAGTTGACCTCCTGCATCAACCTGCTTTAAGCTATTTTTGCACATTCAATTCCCATAGACTTTTATTAAAAGAGAATCCATTCTGCTGGGAGTAAAAGTCCATAGACACAGGCCCTTAATTAGTTTCAGTGGCACGTTCCTAGTGCCCTTCACATACGGATTGTTTCTGCACCAAGAACCTGGCACTGGTTGTCATCTTTGGATTTGCATTTTCAGAAAACCTTAGTTGAACTCCTGCTATGACCTTAACGCTGAACCCCTTCCCAGAGCCATAAAATGTAACCCAACACCTTAAAGGAGAACTATGAGGTGAGTGCTTTTCACTCAGCCTCATAATCTGAGACCACCTGTGACAATGAAACTGTCACAGGTCGGGTCAGTAGATCGGGAGGTGAGCGAACATATACCGGCGCTCACTCACTTCTCGATCCTGTCACCACAGAGAGCCGTGACAGGGGTGTGACTGGATTCTCCCCTCCCCTGGAATTTGGGTAACGGGAGGAGAGTAGTTTGTGTCCTTCAGTGACCCTTAGGAAAACTATAGGGAAAAGCCCTAACCCCATAGTTCTCCTTTAAATCTTATCTTACAATCGTTATATTAACCCTTTAATGTCACTGTAGCCTTACATTTAAAAACTGAGACTTAAAATAAACAGTTGAGCCTAATTTGGAATACTTGTTAGTGCCAAAAGCTGTTCGTCCCACATGGAACACTACGTGCTCCCAGCATGGAAAGCAACTTTTTCTATACATCCTATTGAAGGCTTTTAGGTGAAAGCCAATTAGCTTACCGGAATGTGTTTGGTTAGAGGGAAAAGACTTGTTAGTGGGAGGGGAGGAAGTCTTCCAAGCATGAGAAGAATATACAAAATCTATAATGTCCTGTTCTAATCCCAACCGACTTTGGCTCAAAATAAAACCATAACTGTTTTAGTATTTGCGTAATATCATCTGGCTAAAACCATTGTCACCGGGACAAAGAGTGATGGGAACTCCAACATTTTACAGTTGTCACTTAAACAGAAGGTGGCGGGGAAACCTTGTAATGGGGGGACACCTACTTACAGGAGAAGTTTCCTGTCACTTCCTGTTGTGTCTGTGTAACAAACAGTAAGGGAAAAGCTCAACAATGAGACACGAACAACATAAAGAAAACTGTCCGGGATTTTTCACACTTTGCTACTCTATGCTAAATGAAAAAGTTGTGACTGGTGATACTCTAATATTTTCGTAGTCGGTTAATAAACCAAATGTTTTAACTTGTACATTGAATTGCTGCTGGTTTTTCATCTCATCTTATTCCTCTCGTCTGATCTCTTCCAGCCTCTCTCAGATCGTCTGGACAACTTTTCCTTTGACTCCTCTCTGGTGACCAAACATGCCCGTCTGGTGCAGTTCCCTCCAGACTTCCATCCAGTCCCATGTAAACCTCTGTTCTTTGACTTGGCCTTAAACCATGTAACGCTGCCTTCTCTGGAGGACAAGCTGGAGCAGAAGACAAAGAGTGGATTGACTGGATACATCAAAGGCATCTTTGGCTTCCGTAGTTAATGAGCTGCTATAAAAGATTTGCCAGTTGATACTGTGCAACGTAAAGAATTGTCGGTTAATACTGCTCAACGTCTTGTTCTCCATCATTTTGCCCCTATTCACCACAGACTGTGCAGTGATACATTCTGAGATAGTACTGCCATCACTCACTTCTATATAGATCAATAAATTCTTTTAATTTATTGGGAGGAAATTATCCCATTTATTTACCATCATTTGGACTGTGGCCACTTCCTTTTTTGCAGTGTTTTGGAAAATCTTTACATGGGGCAGAAGAGATTTCCGTAATGGTTTTACACTGCATCAGAGTTGAGCACAATCCCATAAATTCAACGCAAAATGAGCATTTTAGTTCATCTCCATGAAATTTGTGGAGGCTTTTATTGCTTTTTCACCATGTGTAACATGAGGTTTATTATTATGACTCGGCTTTTCACCCATTATTATCTGTTTAATGGAAGGGATTAAAGAGGACCTACACTCAAATGTTAACTTCGACCTATGTTTACTGTCTTCCGAGTATTGACGAAGTAGTAGAAGGGCTGAAATGCTTACCTTTGCTAGAGAAAATGCTGCTGCAGAAACCGTCCAGCACTGGACAGATGACTAAAAGCCAAGGCATAGGGTCACATAATCAATGCTAAGGCCTCAATCGCAAGGCCATTCATGACCGTCAACCACCAAGATCAATATATTTTCTGTTGTGGATATGGCAAGGTGTTTCAGATCAGCTGAAGACAGGAAGCCTGTATAAGGCAATAACAGGCTGGCATTCACATGCAGCTGAGGACAAATGAGCGTCCCTGTACGCAGACTGTTTGCATCCAGGTAATCAGTCCAGGTATTCACTCCCATGTGCGAATGCATGCGAACAGCTGCACGGCCTCTCAGCCTGTCATTGAATTGTACAGGCTAGGTTGCGGCAGCTGATCGGAGACACCTGGCTGTACTTGACGCAAAAATATACTGATCTGGTCTACGTACTGCCGTGTGACTAAGCCCTAAAGGGGATGATTAGCCAACCTGTACTCTGATCCTCCTTTTCAGCAGAGATCACATATCTACAGCCTTCCCATCAAGACAGTTAACATAGCTTTATGTCACCATTTGAGTGTAGGTCTTTAACCCCTTTTTCTTATGTGTACAAGCAGAAAGACTGATTCCAAAGCCTCCTGTTTGGTCAAGATTTTTATTTTGGAAAAAGAAAATAAAATGCATTTGTTTGGGGACCTATGAGTGGTGTTGTACATTCAGATCCTTTTCTTTCCAGAAATATCGTTCTTCAAACAAAGCCTGACAGGTTGTTTGTGTGTACTTATAAACTATAGAAGGTACCTAGAGATGTCTGGATATACCGATGACTTCTCTTAAGGACCCATTCACACCACAACCAGATTACCTCCAGACCAGACCGTTTCCGGACCCAAAATGTTTCCCTATGCTATTTCTGGCCTCGGTTCCCATCAGCGCAGTCCAGACCAGAAAAATACTGCTTGTCCTCTTTTGTCTGGTCTGGAATGCACTGGAACACATCAAAACCGCATGGAACGCACCTGTAAGAACATTTTAAGCTAAATAAAACATTTCCAATCACGGCATTAACGCAATGCAGTATGTTCCAGATCTGGTCCGGAAAATGGTGTGAACCCAGCCTAAGACAGGGCAACCTCTGTGCAACCGTAGCTTGCCCAATTCATAATATTTTTACCCGTCAGGTATGTATACAAAGCGGTAACAACTACCCTGAGTTCACTAAACAAATTACAAAGCATTAGAATAAAGGTGTCCTGAGTTCCGTATGTATGTATATATATCTATATCGGGGGTATGCAAACATTGGTGTCCCAGCTGTGTTGAAACTACAAATCGCATGAGGCATTGCAGGACTCTGACAGTCACAACATGACTCCCAGGGACAGATGCATGATGGTATTTTGCATTTTTGCCACAGCTGGAGGGGCAAAGATTGCCTACCCCTGGTATATGTAATGGAAGTCTCCACGGCTGTGCAATCTACTGCCCTTTGCTATGGAGACTACATAGCCCCGATCTCCTTAAGCTGGGGAGGAGATCGGGGAACCGGAAGAGGTTAAATCTGAACTCCAGCCTAAAGCTGGCCATACATTATGCGAATTTCGGCTGGTTCTTCAGCCGGTGCCGTTATCAGTACCCTTTCGGAGCCGGTCAGAAAGATTTGTGAGCTGCCATTTCCTGTTTGGGCATTCTGACAGTAACCGCTCTCGGGATACAAAATAAACAGCAGGGGATTGCTCAATCAAGTGTTGATGGAGCAATCTGTTCTACATTTATTCGCTCCGCTCGCAGGTGAACCTAGAACAATAGAACAGTGTATGACCAAGTTTACCTTCAGACTTGCACAGTTGTGCAGGCTCCTCGTCTTTCCTGAAATTCACGGCACACTGAGCTTCTCTGTGTGCATTGGAAGCTGTAGCAAGTCACAGCCTGCTTCTGATCTTTTCTCCCCATACTTATGGTCCCTGGCCCAACTCTTTGATTCATTGGATTTCAGTTCTTAGATTCATGGATGCTCAGCATCACATTTACCTAGGGTGGTCTCCATGCAAATGTAGCCTGCCTATGAACACCCTCTCCTCCAGGATGACACCCACCTATCAAAGCATTTAGAAATTTACAGAACTACTCCCAAATGCCATCCCTCTGCTTGCATCAAGACTGAGGGCACATGAGAAGAGTATGGGGGGCAGGGCACTGTGATATTTTCAGAAAGCTTTGTACAGCACCCTGTTGATCCCACCTACCAGTCATGATCTGTCTGCATTACACAGAGAAGCACAGAGACACAGTGATGACCTCATCGGTTCTACAATAAGGTATGTAATAAAAAGGGCCAACATGTCATTAGTATGTTGATGAGAGTGGAAGGGAGAATCCAGGAAGGCCAAAATATAAGCAGATTATACTTGAACTTTAGGTTTGTGAAATCACTAATTATATAGCTCTTCAGCTAGGCCACACCTTCATGGGCGCACACTATCACTAATCAAACAATGCCGAAGGTTGAGTGATGGCAACCATGAAAACATTATGGGCAAGTGGAAAAGTGATGGATCTCCTTGGAAAGCCTGTAGAAGATACTCTGCAGCATTGTTCTCTTAATATACCATTTCGAAACATTTGAAATCACAGAAAATTTTAATATAATAAAATGTATATACTGTAATTATTTGAAGCACAAGTTAAGTTTTGGAAATAGATATGCAGTCAGATGGACTTTATACTAATAATTACCAATTTCTCTGTCATCCATTGAGGGACACAGCACGAGAATTCTGAGACGTAGGGCTATGCTGCTGCATTCAGGGGAAATGGACACTAGGCAAAAAATAAAGCCTGCCACGTTAAGGCATTAACCCCTCACACTTCCCAGTTTTGATTAGTGTCCTCAGGAGAATGGATGTCTCCTGCTCTTATGCTTTTTTATTTTGGTTTGTTTTTTCGGTGAGATTCCACTTTCAAGAGGTGCTAGTTGATTCATGCCGGATAATAAATCCTGGAAGTTTCTCTAGCCGACAAAACAGATTCGTGCGGGATATGTTAGATCCTGGAAGTTTCTATAGCTGCCAGGAAGCATGTTTCTGGCCTCAGTACCGATGATTCGTCTTGTGGTGGTCCCGAGTTGCCATGGTCATCTTTTTATTTAAAGACCACAAGCCTAACCAATCCCTGCTCCACGGATCCTTCCTGCGATGGTCCTGTGTTCCTATCTGGTGAGATATTTCAGCTTTTCTTTTTTTTTTTTAATGGCGTATTCTTGAGGTTGATTTTTCTGTTTCTCACCTTGATGGGGCTTTGACTATTCATATTGTTGACGCCCCTTCATTTAGAGACCCTACTGATAAGAAATTGGAAACTTTTTCTCACTTTATTTACTTTTGATGGGATGTTTTTGGGGGGTTTTTTTGTATCCCTATTGGCCATGGTTCTTATTCTCCAAACTCTAGCTACCTGGTCTAAGGCTGTGAGTGTTGACCCACGTTTTATTGTGTCAATCAGATGACAGTTGCTTCTCATTTGGTGTGCAATGCAGTTCTTGATGGCTGTCCTGAAGTATTCTTTTCCTCTATTCAGAAGCAAAGAACCTTTTGACTTATGTGTTATTTGGTTGAGCTTCAATACAGTATAAAAAGCAACTTTTATGTTTGTCCTATGTGGAGACCCTCTTTTTGATGCATCGCTGGATACAATTATTATGTAAGCTACCACAAGTTTTTAGTTCCCAGGGCAGCAAGTCTCCTTCCTCTGTTAGACTGTCAGATTCTTGTAGACTCCACTGGCAGTCTTGGAACTCCAAACCCACATATAAGTTCTTCGGGTGGGGGGATGTCTGATGGCCTTTGCAGAGATCTGGGGAAGCAAGCATATCATATGCTTGATTTCAGAATGTGGTTCACAGTTACAAAATAGAATTTTTACCTCTTCCTCTTACAGAATCCTTTGCTTTTCGCCTCCCTATGTCTCTGCAGAGTTGGACCTTTCAGTGGTCCAGGAATTGTTAGATCAGGGAGTTTTCATCCTAGTAGGGATGCACCGATACTAGTATCTGTATCGCTGTCGATACCTAGTATTAGGGCGAGTACTCCTACTCGCCGAAATGCTCTGATACTGGAACTTCCGGTCAAAGGGAGATCTACATCTGACCAGCATTGCCCGCAGGAGCATGGAGCCGGCATCATTTCCAATCAGGAAGCCGGGAGGTGGGTTATGACCAGCCTCCCGGCTTCCTGATTGGCTAGGAAGCCCACTTCACTTGTCACTGGGCAGTCTGGCTTCCTAACCAATCTGGAAGCCGGGTGGCACATAATGACCCGTCTCCCGGGTTCCTGATTGGTCAGGAAACAAGACTGCCTAGGAACAAGTGAAGCCAGCTTCCTAGCCAATCAGGGAGGCGGGTCATGACATGCTGGGTTTCTCCCCCGCATTGTTTGGGTTCTTTCTTTCCGTCATTTGGGGGTAGACCAAAGTTTGGCTCTCCGTACCATAAAGTGTCGGGTATCTGCCTTATCTGTTCTTTTCTTTTTTCCAATGATCTCTGCCTACTAATTCTTTAATTCGCAGCTTTATTTAGGGGGTTGCACATGCGGCTTTTGATCTCCGTTACATTTGAACTTATGTCTTACTCTGTCTTATTAGTTTTATAAACACTACCATTTGTGAAATTTCTTTACCACTTTTGTCTAAAAAGGTTGCTTTGCTTGGAACTGTCTGCCTTGTCCTGTAGAGAACCACAGTGATTCTATGCAAGGATAAGGTTGTTGTTAGGGAAACAAGAAACCAGACAGAAACTTAAAAGTGTAGGCTTAAAAATTATAAGGAGTTTTTTGGAAACCGTAAACCTAAATAGCAAGAAAAAACATGGAAAACCGTCCAGGATGGCGTCTGTGCCAAGCCAGAGGTCAGATGCCAAAACAGGTAGTCAGCCGAACCAGGACAGGGAACACAGGGCAGAATAAACCAGATACAATAGCC